CTTTCTGAAGATGCTGAAGGCGATTGATCTGCATGTAGGAATTTACATTTGCTTCCGAACGTGCAGGTACCCTTTTGCCAATTCCAACATATCTTCTTCTTGGGTCCAGCTGAAGATGAACTTCCCCTACTTTTCCCCCTTGATGAATCTCGACTTCCGCTTCTGCCTTTCTTACCTTTCATCTTGGCATCATAGACCTTCTGAGAATGACTGTAAAGACATTTGTCACCTTTGTTGCATCCTCCTTTATTGAAGAAGTAGTTACAGAACATCTTCTTCTTGTCAACAGGTGAAGATGATCTTCCCTTCCCACCTTTGCCTTTCTTGTTGTTCTTGTCGGCATGAGATTTCGGAGAAGGTGTTGGAAGTACTGATGCAGCTTCACTCTTCGCTTTCGCTTTAGGCCGTTTGGGAGGATCACCTGTAGACGATGCAGCTGCTTCATTCTCCTTCTTGGTCTTAATGGGAGCAGCAGGTTTGTCAGCATCTTCCAGGGCAGGTGTGGTCTTGGTAGAGGATAATGACAGTTTCACTGCACGTTCTCTATCCTTCAACAGCCGTTCTTGCTTTCCTCGTGCTATGTATCCTTTGATCATACCAGTTAGGTAAGCATAGGTCTTCTCAGGATGCCCTTCATCAAAGGTTTTGTATCGGTTGATATCGAAGGCCATAAGCTTTGAATGTTCAATCTTCCGGAACAATGTGTCACGCAGGGAATTATTGGAAGGCAGATCATCATGTTTCATATTGTATACGATGTCAAGCCACTTGTTGTAGAAGGCCTCAAGTTGGTCATCTCCATAGTAGTTGAACATATACAAATGATGGGCATTGTAGAGAACTTCAGTGTGGTCAGGTGACTTGAAGCTAATCAGTATCATTGCGAATAGTTCTCGTCCCTTGATGAAGTCCCCACTTCTCCCATACAATTGGTTCTTCATGGACATGTCATACTTCACTTGCATGGACTTGTCCCCAGCATTGTCAATGACTTTCCTCAAGGCATTGGAGAGCTTGGCATCAATGGATTGGAATCTTACATCGGGTGCTTTGGCCAGCGCTTCCAAGTCAGGTTGATCTGCAAGACACGGAGCTAGCCACGCTTTCCAATCTTCATAGTTTCGATCTCCACTTGCAACACAAACTTCATGAACGACACTTCCCTTCCAGGATGAAAGTTCAGTGGTCTTAGGCCAGGGTTGGAGGCTGATCTTTTCGGCTTCTCTTAGAGATACGGATGACTTGGATCTGTCCCTCTCAAGGTTCTCCAACTCCTTGACATTTGTGTTGTACTCGTTCCTGAGCTTCTCGAAGGCTTCAGCTTCTGCTCGGTATTCCTGCTCTTCATCATTGGCACGATCTTCAGCTTGAGAGAAATTATTCTTGTAATAATCTTTCCGATCTTCCATCTTCTTCAATTCATCTTGAAGATTTCGAACTTCAGCGTTCCTCTCTTGCTTCATCTCGTCCAACTCTGCTTTCAGTTTGGCACACTTCTCTTCACATTCATTCCGAGGCATAGCATTACTGGGGTACCCATGTAATGTAGTCGGTCTATTCAATGATGAAGAAGAATGAGCTTGGTTTTCCAACTTCAGGGCAGCAATGGTGCTCGACATCTCTTCTACCTCAGCGAAACGCTCATTAGCCAATTGGTGCATCTCGGTCAGGTGGCTTTCAGGAATGGAATAGTCAGTCGCACCTTTGATCACGAGTCTTCTGTCGTTCAACATCTTGATGGACTTACCTGCATCCCTGTGAGCACGCTCAAGAGAGTCCTTTTGGGCTTCAAGTTCAGAATGAAGGCGAGCAATAGCTGTGTCCCTGTCATTGATTTCATTGTGCAAACTGTCGAACAAGTTACTCGTCACATTCGGATTGTTGCTCATGTGATCGATCTTGTTCAGAGCATCTTGATATTTCTTACCAGTTTCATCGAAGTTTTGCTGGAAGATTTTGAGCAGGTTCTCAGTGTCAATGAGCTCAGTTCTGTTTTGCAAGTACACCTTGTCAACTTCAGCCTTGGATTCCTTCAAGCTGTCACGCTCACGTACGGCTTGCATATACATCTCGTATAGAGGTCCTCCATGCGGTGACCTGCTTGGTGAAGATCTTCTGGCTTGTTGACAGGAAAGCTCATGATACTGATTCTTCGATTCAGTCAGTTGTTGTTGCATTCGATCTAAAAGACTTTGTTTCATGTGTAGTTCAGAACGTAGTCCCATTATCCTCATGTCCCGCATGCCACCTGATTCAGCTAGAGATTCTTCAGAAACCCTGTTCTCAGAAATCGCTAGTCGAGATTGTAAGTTTTCATTGTGGATCACCTGCAATCGAAGTTGTGATTCTTCCAAAGCTAAGTGATGTTCACATTCTGCGTAACGGTCATGTTCAGATCTTATGTTACTACGGAACTCCTTCATGATCTCATCCCTCTTCGTATCAGCAGCATCGAGCTCAGTTTCCAGTCGTCTAACGTTCATGGCCATGGTGTGCTTCATTGTCTGGTTTTGATTGGCAATCTCGAGCATCTCGATCTGTAAAGCACATGTTTGGTCATTAGCGTAGCCGACCGCTAGAGCTTCTTGCTTGGCATTCATCTCTGCGTTTTCCAGTTCCAGTCTGAGTTGATTGATGTGAGCATTCGCATCGGCGCCCACATGTACCATGATTGCGCTCGCTTGTCCCATTTTTTCATCGAATTCCGAACGTAGCCGTGAATATTTGAATTCCAAATGAGATGCAGCTTCATTCGACATAGTCTGATACCTTTCCAACTCTTCGATCCTGTAGGTCGCACCTTCATCTTCTTGTTGTGCAGCCTGTAACTCGAAGTTCAGCATCTGGAGTTGTTCGGTCATCGACATCATCTCTTGATGAGTGGTGCTTTCCAGGAAATTAAATTGTTGATAGGCATATGCCGTCGTCTCGGTCAATCTTGCCTGAAGTACGGATTCCTCTTCAGTGGCCTTTTCCAGTGATGTCTTGTATTCAGTTAGTTCGCTCTGATAGGCAGTGAAGATGTCGCTACCACTTGACGGAGCGTTCACTTGCTGATAAGATCCTGTCCCTGATGGAGTAGCGTCCTGAATCGGTGAAGGCGGATTCGACGACGTGGTCTTTGCCTTAGTCCTTGGAGTCATCGGAGGCGACAATTGTCGTGCAGATGATCTTCTCTTTCCAGGTGTGCTGTCCCTATCTTCAATGGCTTGCATTGTCGAAATTTGTCTCCCTCTAGGAGCAACCAGAGGTCGCCTGGGTAGGCTTGTTCTCAATTCTGAGGCATCGCTTCCACCAGTGTCGATACTCTGTGAAGAATTTGACTGCGTGCCGGCAGCTGGTGCAACGGCATGTCCAGAGAATGAAAATGCGTTATCGCTGCTATCCTGTTCAGTCATCTGTAAGGCCCGCGGCTACCCGCTCGTAGGCTCCGTAGGAGTCCTACGGCTGATAACCTGTGAATCGGAGGTTGTCTCCCCGATTATGTTCTGGTACTTGATCTTGAAGTGGATGTTTCAGTGGTGACGTCACACGGGTAGCGGCTTCGGCATTGCAATTCTTTGTTCCGGTTCCTGCAGTGGTCTTGAGCCAAAGGGGCGAGTTGATGTACCCCTTGGCTGTGGATCTTTGAGGGCTGAATTATGTGGTAGTGTACAATGGTCCGTAGCCTACACTCTATTCGCAATATATTATGTGTTGTTATGTTATGATATGTTTTATTGAATTATTCGTATTATATCATGTCATATCAGATGTTACAGTATATCATATCATATCATATCATGTTATATTGTAGTGTATTGAATTCGACTATATCATACTACAACATAGTGTATTATATTGTATTATACTATATCATACTATATCATACGATATTAAATTATATTGTATTATCTTTTGTTGTACTATGTAGTGAAACATAATATAACATTGTATCATATCATACTATACTAAATTATAGCATATTGTATTATAGTATATCCTATTATACTACATTATATTAGAATATATCATATCACAGTATCCTATATTATATTTAAATTGATTATGTCATAGTGTATAAAATCTATGTGATGTCAGGTTCCTATAATATGTTATGTGATATTGATTATCATATATCATATCATATAAGGTCATATTCCATTGTATTATTTGATTTTATGTTATGTTCTATCATCATATCACATGATGTAATGTTCTATTGTATTATATATATCATCTGAAAATATATATTACATTCCATTACATTATATTACATGGTCTTACATTACATTACATTGTATTACGTTATAATTTATAGTACACTGTATTACATTACACTACATTAATTACATTGTATTACATTGTATTACATTGTATTACATTGTATTACCTTGTATTACCTTGTATTACCTTGTATTACATTGTATTACATTGTATTACAGTGTATTACATTGTATTACATGGTATTACATTGTATTACATTGTATTATATACATTGTATTACATTGTATTAAATTGTATTACATTGTATTAAATTGTATTACATTGTATTATGTTGCATGCATTTTATTATGTTACATTGTAGTCCATTTCATTACATTCTGTTACATTCTATTATATTCTATTGCATTATATACGTATGTGTGTGTGTCATTATATTACATTATAAATCATATCATACGATACCAAGATATGCCGAGGCAAAGAATCCCCAACATGCAAGACGTGTTTTTTCTGTACCTTTTAAGGGCCATACAGTCCGATGGACATTAACTGGACCAACGGTTGGGTGGTTTCAAACCATCCCATCATTGGGGCTACAATTGGAAGCGTCCAAGGCGGGATGATGTCACCTACGATTGGAACCATGAAAAATACCCCTGTCTCATTCCAGTATGCTGGTTGATTAGGAAATGTTCCTATTTCAGGCTATAATCACCCCCCATAAACCATTTGGTATAACCAGAGGTATGTTCAATGGCTCACATGTCCCCAGAAAAATCGGCTCTGCCCCACCCTCACAGGTTAGGCTCCAACAACATGTACTTCTGCGGATTCCGACCCTCCAAGGGTGGCTGGTACGGTTTCAGCTTTTTGATGTGGCTCTTGATCACCATGGCGTCGCCCAGCGAGGTGAAGGTCGAAGATTGGAAGGGTTGGAAGGGTTGGTAGTGACCTGGTAGTGGCTGGTGGGTGTGATCACACTGCAGTGGAAGGGGGTTTGAGTGGAGATGCGACTGTGGCAGTGTGATGTCTGCGAGACAGGACTGAAGCAACCAATTTTGGAACGGCGTTTTGGCTCGATGTTGCCTGTGACGTGTTTCGCAAAAGAACAATTGCATACAATTGCCATGGTTGTGAATTGCGGAGTGGCCCTCTGACAAAGGCATAGGAGCGCTTCAGGCGTCTCATTGCTTCTTATGTCACAAAAGCTTGAGGAGCCATGCAGCAGAAACACGGTGACGCAAATCGTACATCTGCATGGATGGGCACCCTCAAGTTCCCAAACGCTAGACTTTGGACATCACCACATACATACTTAGCCGGCATAAGTTATATACAGTGTTTATGTACATATAAATCATGCCAATTTGGATATAGAAACGTTTCAAAAACAGATTGATTCCCTGTGCTTGCATACCACCTGAGCCAGTAAAGATACCCTTATCACCCGTGCCATCCTTCTTTTCTACTGGTTTGTTAAGAGGTACTCCAAGGCCCGGGATATTTTCAATGGCTCACCTGGCACAGCGGCACAGCCTCTGGGGCATCCTCCACGAAGGGAGCCCGAAGCCGAAGCCTGGCAGTTGAGCATTGGAGCTCGTTGACTGATGGGCTGGATGTGTTACTTGGTGGTTCATAGAACTTACCCTCCAGTAATTTAAGATTGCTATGGAAAATCACCCATTTATAATTTATATATGATTGACTTTCCATAGCTATGTTAAATGTAAATTACCAGAGAGTACCAGTTTGTGGACCTGGTTACACATGGGCTCTGAAAATAGGCTACTCCCAAAATTGATGCTTGACCATCATTGAGCTCATCTTTTTGGCCACTGTGGGGTCTCCCCTATTCAACAGACAAATCCATATGGAAAGCCAAACAGGGATAGCCGACATCCGGCCGAGTCACAAGATTGAGGGATGTTGAGCCGCCCCAGGCAGCTTGGTGGATTGAGCTTATGCCAAATGTTTGGGAAATGTGTTCGAGTCACTTTGGGATCATCCAATTTTGGGGATGGAAAACCCAACCACAAGTGTCCTCTGCTTCAAGAGACCCTGAAATGAGGGGGATTTCTGCATTCCCCCAGTTTTTGCTGGAACAACTGGAACACCATACGGATCCAGACAAGTGATATGTTGCTCATTGTTGCTCCGCCCTTAGGTCGCAATAGTTGAAGTCATGCTCTCCCTGTCCTGGTTATCTCGTTTCACTGAAAGACATCCCCGCCATGTGATCTCTTGTCATTGCCGGGAATACCCGCACAAGAGTATAGTGTTTTTGCTGGTTGAAAATACATTCCGTGTCTGTATATTATTTATTTTTAACTATCTAAAATTATATACATAAAACTACATAAATGACATGTCATAATATACTGCAAAAGATATAGCCAGTAGTTATATACAAAAGAAATTTATACAAGTGTATATTACATATAATTAACTTCATATAGCCAAAAAATACAGTACTTAACTACCCATCCAAAGTTGAGCCAGTCGCGCTTGACGGCTGGTGCTTCTCGTTGCACGGCACTCTGCAGCGGAGCTCCCTGAGCTCCCCCAGGGTTGAAAAGGGCCCGATGGGTCACAGAGATGGAACGCCAAAGGAGCCACCAACTTGCTCATATGATGTTGCATATATATATATGTATATATATATATACATACACATACACATACACATACACATACACATACAGATACAGATACATATACATATACATATACATATACATATACATCATATACATATACATATACATATGTATATATATATACATACACATACACATACACATACACATACATATACATATACACATACACATATAGATATAGATATAGATATAAATATAGATATAGATATACATATACATGTACCTATACCTATAGCTATACCTATTCCTATACCTATACCTATACCTATACGTATATACGTATAGCAACCTCCAAAAGATACAATTTGGTAAAATCCCACTCACATAGTGATCAATGGCTTTTTAATCTTTCTGCGGTTGGTGTGTATGTATATATATACACACATATGGAGTATGGTCATCCCACCATCATTAGGGATTCCGTAATGTTTTGACCATGGCATGTTATACCCCAAAAATGCGGTGTCAACGGACCAGCAAAAGTGGTCAGGTTTAGTGCATGTTTACTGTCCAAGCATACAGACTTTGAGCCATGGCTATACGTTTGACTGGAAGAAACAATTTTGAATTCCGTTTCCAGACAAAAAAAAAATGTGTCCTGAGTTTCACGAAGTGTTTTTCATATTGATTCACTGCAGCTCTTGGTGGGTCGTACCAGATATCACAACTTGAACCATCAAAACAGCTGGAAAATTCTGAAGCCTGATTTTCAACGAGAATCTGATACCTAGATGGTACAGTACCCGCGCCCCAGTAAAAACAGCCTAGGGATTTACTAATGCAGGGTTGACACAATAGTTGCACAAGACTCACTAGACTGGCTTTAAGATGCAAAGAGTGCGACCCACGGATGTTGCTGACTTTCACCTTGCCTCATCATAGCCATCGCCTGAAGGGGGGGGTGAAAATTCGGGCATTGGCTATGTGTGTCCTTGATTGTCCTTGGATATACTGGATGTATGATGGATTCCTACTTGGTGGTTGATCCTACTTAGGCTATAAACCTCTGGAGGAAGTAGGGTTGGCCTGCTTATAACTGGGGTTCTGACTTTTAACCCACCAATACTGGGAACATCGTGACATACCGCAAGAAACAGCTACCAATCATTGGATGATGCATTGACCAAGTGGGTGATGGGGAGCACCAAGTATCGACATAAGGAGTGTCTCATATTCTGGGTCACGATTACTTTTGAGACAAGGTGCTTGTTTCCGAGGACCATCATCCACAGAGGCAAGTCATTATTAGTTCGGAAAGAGGATAGACTATCGTCGCAAATCCCGTCCATCAAGACTTGATCGGTGGCCCAATTCTGCTCATACGCCAAGTGAGAAACGTCTCTCGGTCCAAATTTGTTCCCAGACAAAATGATGTTTATATATATATATGTAGTTTTCATTATTTATTCATTTATATTGTATTGCATGTTCACATGTTCTCATAGAATCACGCAATGTAAGAAATGCGTAGAACTATCCAACATCTTGGTTTATCTGAAAATAATGTACCCCTAAATCCAGCGGTTAATCATCAGTTTCCCTATTAAAACATATTAAAACAATTGGAAACAGCCATTTCGGAGTATAGTTTGGCCCCATTTCCAGACAAACCGATCGAAATGATCAGAGCAGTGCGGCCACTTGGCACCTCCAAGTCTAGGTGCCGGCCGTGGAGATTCGATGGCCATGGTGACGTTTGAGTGGTGGACGTTTTTGCGGACAGTGGTTGAATGTCTCCAAGTCTTAGAGCCTTACATTTGCTGCCATTGAGTTTTAGATAGAAAATGCAAATCCAGAGCCACCATCCCAACAAAGAGATCTGGATTCCTGAAAGCCAAAAGACCAGTCGCACCAGTGTGAAACACGATTCTTTTGGCTGCATGTCATTTTGAGAAAGCCCACCCCAGGTCCAGGTATGTCCAGGTAACCGATTCATCAGAATTCAAGAAGTTGAAGTCCTGCTACGGCCCCACTGCGCATCATGGCGTTGTTGTTTTGATGTTGTTCTAGTTCACCCAAATCCATGCTTCGATGTCCACTTCAACCGTGGCGTCTCTTCTTAATCTCCGGAGTGCAGCAATCTTTGGCTGGCGTGGTGGGGAACACATCCCAGCTATCCAACTCCCAGCTATCTGTGTCGAACAGAAAGTCCTGCGGTGGGAATGGAATTCGGCATCTGCAAGAACTAGCGGGACAAATCAACTGTAAGAAACACTAAGGAAGCCAGTGCCTGTTGTGGTTCCATTGAGAAACCATCATGTCATCATCTATGAACTGTTTTCTCTCTGAAAATTGGGATTTGCGATTGTCAACCATCTGGAATATGCGTTGGGCTTCTTGGAAAGCACGTTGGGCTCTAATTTTCTGAATGGCCACGCCCCCTCAAACTCGCCGTCTGCCTGGGAGGAACAGAGAATACCACTGCAAGGGTTATCGCGCGCAACCAATCCATGCCCTCCTTTTGGGTGGATCTTTTGGTTCCAGCCCAGCCCTTAAATTTCAGGGACAGGCTCTGCCAAGTTCCAGGCCCATCAAATCGATGCTCCTGATTCTTGAGGCCAGGCAGGAATCTGGCGCAGTGGTGGTCTCGCAGGGCCTCGCACATCGGAAGGAAACGACAGAGTTTTCACAAGAAAATCGCTGACCAAAAGGTGCCGATGTGGCACTGTGAAGTGACGAATTTCATCCTTTTTCCAACGCCAACGCAATCGCCTTCTACGGTGATGGAATCTCTTGATCGATCCCAATAGAGGTAGTCCGCAGTCCGCAAAGTCTTGTCGAAGCCAAAGTCTCAACTCTCGAGTGCACCCGTTCTTCGATTCACAAAGGATCAGCTTGTCTCTGCATATTCGGCATCCACCTTGCCATTGGTTTGGGCTTCATCGTATTCAAAGCAGTCTCATTTGATCTTCCCAACCTTTTCAAACTGGACGCTCAGGCACTCGTCAGGTGTGGCCACTGAGACAGGATTTGGATCTTATCAGGAAAACAGCAGTGAAGGATTTGAGATTCTTCAGTAACCGTTGCTGGCCTGCGCCAAAGATGTGGCATATGTATAGACATGCAAGCGTATCCAGAATATATATATATATATATATTTGTATACTCTTCTTCGGAAACCACTGAAACCACCCCTTGTCAAGGCCCTTTGTTTCAGCCACAGGCCCTGCCAGGATCTCTGCAACCTTGCGGACCTGGTCACATGTTTGACAATGTGACATCACCACGCCCGATCTTGAGAATTTCTTCGCGTTCGTCCCTGCACTGGCGACTGCTCCGAGGTTCGGAGAGTCCATTGGCAAAGACTTTTGCCACGGAGCTCCCGGATCTCCTGGACAAAGTTCTGCTGGGCCCGAAGATCGTCACCACGATGGCACAGAACTCCACGGCCACCATCTCCACCGACATTTCCCTGGAGTTCCTCTTGGGAGTCAGGCACCTGCAAGTCTTCGGATCTGCAGCGGAAGGGAGAATGTCTTTTTTGATCAATTCATCATAATTCATCATAATTCATCATAATTCATCTTCATCAGTTTGTCCGCATCCTTCGGATGACTGAATCGGCGACAGAGCCGGTGCTCTCCTTGGCAGCCAGGCCCAACAGAGGCACATCGCCGCACATGGCAACGGCAGCGGAAATCGCCCGGAAGGCTCTTGAGAGAATCGCACACAGGCATTGGCTTCCTGAAGAAGCAAAAACCAGCTCCCAAACCATGTGTCATTGTCTGAATAGGCTACCCCATTCCATCCAGTTCCATCCACTGGTTCATCATCCACTTGCATGGCAAAAACGCCTCATTCCCTCGCTCCAGCCTCAGCCCCGCCATCTGAAACCTGCAGGCGTGGGGCAAAATATCCACCAATGAAAATTGATTGGAGCACCCGAAGTTGGTCTCACTCCAAGAGTCAGCAAGGATAATGAACATACGCTCTTTTGGGAGGTTCACCATCTGAACTATAGGAGGGTCATGAGTTGAAAAACAGAAGCTGTATGATTCTTGAAATAGTGCATATGTGTATGTGTGTCAACATAATGAGTCAACATATGTCAATATATTATACATTATTATTATACTACTTGGAATTCACTTCCCATGATCCCATGCTTCCTCCATCAGACATTGGTCGGTCTAATCTGTCACCAGCACGCCTGCCTTCCGGCAAGATCTGGATGTCACTGTTTTCAGGCGTGGAATGCGGAGCCGTCATCAGAGATGACCTGGCTGAGCTGCTTTCACCAGAAAATGCCTCCACAGGTGATCATCATTGCCCCATTAAAATGGCCAGAAATTGGGATTTCCAATGAACGAGTCGTTGGTCTCCCTCCAGATCCGGCATCGCCCGCCGCGGCACCTGGCAGCATAGGCACGAAGCGTACCATAGACCGATGCCAGGGATGAATCGATCTGCTCGTCCAAGGGGAAGAGGTGCTGACATCGGTCAGTTCAAGCCATGTTCATTCAGTTCCAATCCCTACTTACTCAGCTAGAACCCCGTGTAGTCAAAGCAACCAAGGGCACCGCATCCTGCTGTAAATAGACTTGGTTGTCTGGCACTATGTTGTGGATTTTTCTGCAACTTTGGAAACCCAGCAGCAATTCTCCCCACAACCTGGGCACCAGCCACGCCCCAGCGCTTGGCGAATTTTGGCTCCGCCACTTTGGGCCGGTCACATCAGCTGAGCACAAAGCAATGAGGCCTCGGCCCAACTGCAGGGACTGGTTTAAGGATTGATGGAAATTAAATTTAGATGAAACCCTTAGGATTTCATCATGAAACATGTACTTATCAAGGAATATCGGGGAATGTTTCTTTGAACCAATTCTGGAGTCTCTCCCATCCTGCGCCATTGATGTTAAGAATGACGTCATTCTGATGTTAAGTGGGTCAAAAAATGAGAAACGATATCCAAGTTCACAGTTCACACAGTTCACTCCCAGCCAGCCCTTTCACTGAGACTGCGTGCATCATCAGATGTCGAATCGCATCACTCAGCAGTATGAGTGGCACAGAGAGACTACAGGCCTTGCAAAGCACAAGCAAATGACGTCATCCTCTCAGCTTCGTTGGTATCTTTGGAGGCATGAACCATCACCAGAAACTTTCCATCTCCCACAGTCGTCCTAGTGAGTGGTGTTCAAATGGCAAAAAAAAAAACGTCAAATCCAAACCAAGGCCATCTCTTCAAAATTCAAAGCCCGTGTTGGCAGTTCCATATGCTTTTTCAGGGGCAGACTTGGAGTTGCGCGCCGGGCCTGTTGCCATTCCTCAAATCGCCCTGGTTCCTAGGAAAAATCCTGGACTATCCCGTTTTAACACCGGGGAAGCTCACCACAATTTGCTGAACCCACAACAATAAACAACAATCAATGTTCAATAACGCATCTCCAATACCTGAACTTTGGGTTGGTTCACCCTTGGTTCGTCTCTAAATCACAAGTTGGGGGTCACCATACCCCAAGCCCGTTGCGATTCTGCCACCATCTATTCGGCTCGGCTTCCCAACCACAAGGTCCAAGGGACTCCGAATCGCCAGAGCGGCCATGAGCACCTTGAAATCCAGCAGCCCCAGGGTTGTTAATCTTTGCTGTGGTAAATTGAAATCTGTTGATCATTGGGTTCCCCATTTTTTTTAAGCACCCCAAGGCGTAATGATATGTGATCATCATCTGTTTTGGTAGCAAATTATTGTAGATCAACTCACGATTTTGGGGGAACCCCCTACAAACAGTAATCAACTGGGGTTTTGTCTCGTCTGCGGGTGACATTACTGTGCAAACCTGGTTATAAATGGGATAAGTAGGCTTCGTCGCCCACTGCTCGGGAAGCCAAGGGCTATACCTACTTTAAAAGAATATGAGGATGAATCACCAACATTGTTTCAGGTATTTGTTATAAATATATATATACCATCATACCCTACAACTCTCTTTCTGGCCCCAAGTGGCAGTGTCAATTCTAGGGACTTGGCCTTATTGTGAATCGTTTGTTTGTACTCATCAAATTGGATAGGAAAATGATGTGTTTCGGCTCCAGAAAACACGCAATGTGTGGCTCTGAAAGGTCGGGCAGGTCCGCCAAAATACGAACATCACATCTCTTGAGACCTGGGAAAGTTGTGTGAACACTGATGTGATTCGATGTGTATGTAGATATGAAATATATATATATATACATTAGTTGCACATCAAATTTCTACCTGTATCATGTGTATGCGTGTATGTATATATATATATACATTAGATAGATAGATAGATAGATAGATAGGAGGGATAAGATAGATAGATAGATAGATAGATAAATAGATAGATAGATAGATAAATAGATAGATAGATAGATAAATAGATAGATGGATAGATAGATACATACATACATACATATATATACATACATACATATTCATACCCTCATCTCATCTCGTCTCCCGATCCATCGAGTTCGCACAATTACAGTATTCCTTAGGCTGACTAATCCCCTGTGGCCCAACCATCTTTCCGTTTGCCCTCAGGTCCCTCACAAAGAGAAGCTGGCACAGCACTGTATAGAACTTCAGGATGTCAGGACCTGGTCATGTCACCTGTGATTGTCTCAAAATGGGGTACCCCATTCCATCCACTCGTTTATCATCATGTTTCCCCTGTAAAATGAAAATTGCCGTTCATCAGGGGTATAACGCATTTTCAGATACAGTCACTTAGAGAGTGACTGATGTCCCAACTGACCTTTAAATCATTGGAAGTGAATGGATCTAACTCTCCAGCAGTTTGGTTTATCTGAGGGCCCAGCTCCAGAAGTACATGGCCAACAGAAAGATAAGCCTTAGAGCCACTTCAGTGGTACCTCGAGAATGGAAGTCCCCACGCATGTGATAAGCTTACAATTGATATACTCATGTTATCTCATGTTCAGGTTGCTACTATCCCAAAAACGATTAAAGTGTGGATGTCTGATTGGTGGCTGTACCTCTCATTGGTGAAAGTTCCCCATCACAATGGGCCCGAGGCTGCACCAGCATCTGCGCAGAGTAGAGCATCACCTGCTGTGTGGCGTCACGCAGCACATCCCATTTCTAAAGGGTAACAAGTCATGCGGCAACACATTCCTTTCCAATCCCATTATACTGCCTGGTTTCTTGTTTTTCCTATGGGTTGTATTTTTCGGTCGAGCATATGGGCTCCCGACGGACAAATTGTAAAAACTGAGACTGTACAAACCGACACCACACCCTTCCAATAAAAAGAACTCCTCAAATAAATTCACAATGCCGTCCACACCTGCACTTATGAAATTACCACGAGAGTACCTTGAGAGGCCAGTGGCCTGGGACTTGCCCCCTTTAGAAAGAATTTGAGATTCGAGATGATTTAAAACCAGACACCATCTCCCCGCAGGGCCAGTTGGAGGGAAGGTAAATCCCATGCTATTCTCAATCCCCATTGTACACTCATGGTATCCACAACGGTTCGTTTCATCTCCGTTCTCCATGTTTGTTGATGTTTGTTGGTTCTATCTCCTCCGATGACCAACCACCAATTCGATGTTAGACTAAAAAAATGCTAAACCATCACCATGGTATCCCTGTAAAATAGTTGGTTTCACCATGTTTCACCCATTTTTGCTTCTAAAATCCACCATGCTTCACTACCATACGTAGTCCACACACCTGGATCTGATTCGGTGTGCGTGGCTCGTCCTCCACAAAGAGCTGTCCGGCCTGAAAGAGTTGGAGCCAGCCACTAAGAATGAGGATTTCACCAGCCAAAAAACAAGATGCAGCCCACGAACCCGAATGCAGTCACGTACAACTCTTTTGTGAAACAAGTTATTTGAACAGTCTTGTACATGTTTCCCCTGTTACCGTACCAGTGCACTGTAGACAGCGGCATGTGGAAGAGGGTGGAGTGCAAAGTGTGCAGTGTGGAATGTAAAGTGTAGGGTGTGCAGTGTACAGTGTAAACTGTGGAGTGTGGAGGATGAAGTGTAGAGTGTAACGTGTAAAGTGTGGAGTGTAGAGTGTAGAGTGTGGAGTTTAAAGTGAAGTGTGGAGTCTAAAGTGTAAAGTGTAAAGTGTAGAGTGTGGAGTGTGGGGTGTGGAGTGCAAAGTGTAGAGTGTAGTGTGTGGAGTGTGGAGTGTGGAGTGTGGAGTGTGCAGTGCACAGAGTGGAGTGTAAAGTGTAAAGTATAGAGTGTAAAGTATAAAGTGTGGAGTGTGGGTTGTAAAGTGTGGAGTGTAAGGTATGGAGTGTTGAGTGTGGAGTGTAAAGTGTAGAGTGTGGAGTGTAAAGTGTGGAGTGCAAAGTGTAGAGTGTAGTGTGTGGAGTGTGGAGTGTGCAGTGCACAGAGTGGAGTGTAAAGTGTAAAGTATAGAGTGTAAAGTATAAAGTGTGGAGTGTAAAGTGTAAAGTGTGGAGTGTAAGGTATGGAGTGTTGAGTGTGGAGTGTAAAGTGTAGAGTGTGGAGTGTAAAGTGTGGAGTGCAAAGTATAAAGTGTGGAGTGTGAGTGGGAAATGTGGAAAGTGTGGAGTGGGGAGTGTGAAGTGTAAAGTGGGGAGTGTAATGTGCAGTGTGTGGAGTGTAGGGTGTGGAGTGTAAACCTGCTTTGACACCTTCGACAGGGAAAGGTTTTACAGCTTACCCCATAGACACGGCGAGGCCACAGGAAAACCAGAGACTCGAGACGAGACACGTGGGAGCATCAAAACGAGCATTTCGTGCGAGACTTCCTACAATTTTCACACTGTGTAGCTTCAAAATCGACGTTTTCCTACGAGTTTTCTCATGAACCTGAAAATTTGCAACCTCAAAATTGATGTTTCGTGCGAGGCTATTTTTCAGCACATCTCACAAAATGCCACGCCCGCCAAGCGATTTGCACCTTGTCGCCACTTGACGCAGCCCTGACATTGCGATTCGCAAAAAACACGCAACATGACACGGCACACGGGCACACGGGCAATCCACGGGCACATGGGCACAGGAATCAAAGAAACTAAGGTAACATTGCAGCGGAACAAAGGCGAGCCAGATTAAAGGAATCTACAGCAGACGGGGCCGAAGCGACACATGTGGAACTTAACATAAGATCAAGGCATGACAACGAAATGAAGCTGCACGCAAACAACAAGGCAACAACATCGCCGTGCAATCTACAGCTGACCGAGCCGAAGCGAAACTAAACATGTGGAACTCAACATAAGATCAAGGCATGACAACGACATGAAGCTGCGCGCAAAACAAGGCAACGACATCGCCATGCAATCTACAGCTGACGGAGCCGAAGCGACATGTGTGGAACGCAACATAAGATCAAGGCATGACAACGTCAATCAATGCCCACTGGCTTCGTACGTAAGTTTTCGCAGATCGTTGTCTCTGGATTATTTGGAAAGCATGCCTTTAAGCCTTTAATTATTTTCTGCCCTGCTTGCAGAGAAGCCTTGCCCGGGCATACGGGCACATGGGCACCCGGGCACACCACCAATCCACGGGCACACGGACACACGGGCACCAACAGAAGAATGCGCTTGCCTGCCACGGGAAATGACGATGGAGGTTGCCAAAGTGCTGCGCCTGCCACGAAAACTGGAACGCATTTTCTGAAAACGTCGCAAAAGTATTGCGCTTGCCACACAAAACGACCTTCGACGCGTTCTGAAACATGTTGGAATCACAAAGTGCCACGCCTGCCACGCGAAACGAGGCGATGCGACATCTGAAACCACCAAAAGTGACCCGTTTGCAGAAATCACCATAGGCACAGCCATACAGGCCTCGCGCGATCGGTTGCGGACGGTTGCGAACGGTTTCACACCATCGAGCGAACACACCCTCAACCCCCAGACCCCTAGAGTGAAACGGGAACCCTTGCTACGCATTCGGGAAAAAGGAAATTAGATTTAGTGTTGAGATGAATTTGGCCGGGAATTAGTATTGAAGTAATCATTTCACAAAGCATTTGGATAAATGTAGTAACCATGCTTGGAATTTCACACAGAAATTGGTTGGATGCAAAAAAAGATGCAGAGTGCACCAATCTCCAAAAGAGGCAGAAACTTTGGAAATTCAACACGCGCAACAACTATAAATATATTATATACACATGTGTGTGTGTGAATTTCTGGTCATCTAAAATGGTTGCGACATGTTGCGACATGTTGCAACTTACTCAAGAGGTCAACCGCCAGTTGTTTCACGACCGCCTCTCCACCCGTCAGGATGACGATGATGCAAACCTCAAGTTGGACCCTTCCCAACGGAGGTTCTGTCTTCGAAAGGGCTTCGAAATATGTGGATCCAAAACCTGTTTGCACCAAAATAGCTGGTAAATGGATGCTGTTCCCTCCAAGAGTGGTCCCGTAGGTATTGACCTATCCTCATTTTGCAACCAGGGAGTTCTCCTCCGATTTTGATAGGACGACCTTGTTTTTACGAGAGTTTTCACGGATTTTTTGGAAATGGTGACTCTTTCGGGCCTTGATTTTCAGAACCACGGATTTTCAAGTGCTGAAAGGTGACAAACACACATTCCGATATATATTTTACATACCCTTGAGAAATCCACAAGGTACACTTTTGCCCGCGAGTTTCTACATATGAGATCCTTTTGATTCGTTGCTTGTGACCTCCCTGTTTTTTGGCTAGGTCACATCTCCCCTGTCTTGCCAGGATGTTCACTAGCAACTGCGGTGCATCCCACTTCCCACTTGTGAGGCCTCATCATCCAGTCGCCATTAACAGATCAAATCCCTCGTCATGATGGCTAGACGGCTAGATCATCCTAAATTAAAGTTGGAAAAAAAAAAACATCTTGCCGGCCAAAGTGATCAATTATTGTCACCAACAATAGCGGCCATGGTGGCTAGATTCGGCTAGATCATCCCCCCAACCCCAACAGCAGCTCAGCGGCCATCTGCAGCGCTAGGATCAGCAGCAATGCCAAGCCACGTTTGGCAATCTCTGGAAGCAGCACCTGGACTCCACAATCACAAGGATCGACCCTCCAATAAACATAGGTAAATAAATCATCATAGAAACCAACAGTTGTATGTGTATAGGTTATAGATATAATCATACAATTCTATGTGCATCTTTATATGGATTGTGATTTAGGAAACCGATGCTGAAGTTCTTCCATGGATTTGAAAGGACGATTTCAGGATGAAAACACCCCACCTCCCGCTCAGAAAGGGAGGTATAGACCACGATAGGTTCATTCTGCAACAAACGCCTCTGCCTGGTTTGCAGTCTTGAATGGACGCTGAAAACGATCGGTGCGGCAGGATATGATCCTATAGCATAAATGCATGCGTCCATACCATAACATAACATAACATTGCATAGCATAACATGGCATAGCGTAGCATGACATGACATAACACGACATAACATAACACAACATACCACAACATAACGAAACGTAACCGAACGTAACGTAACATAACAAAACATACCACAACATGACAAATGTAACATTACACAACACAACACAACATAGCGTACATAGCCACACATAGCAAAACATAATTTGATAACATACCATACAAGACATAGTACATAACTTCATAACCCAGCTTTGTAACCCGGCAGCAAGTTCCAAGGTTCCACGGTTCCAATGTTCGGTAAAAAGATCACGCACCACATCCAGACCCACAGATTGAGACCCAACAGTCACTGTTACCTGTTGTTAAGCAAAACATACAAAACATACACAACGTACATAAGGTACATTACACAAATGACGTACATAGCATAGATGCATGAAACAATATACAGCATACAACAAATACTCAACATACAAGACATACATGACATACACAACAAACATAAGGACACATATACAGACAGACATGCACAGTGTGCATAAATACTTACTTGCTCACACACATGGTTTTACATTGCACAACATGACATGACATTGCATTGCAACGCATTGCGTTGCATGTCCTTGCATTGCACTATACTGCATTATATTTCATTCATACGTAGATACATACATGCATACATGCATGCATACATGCATACATGCATACCTCCAGACATACAGACAGCAAGACAGACATGCAGACAAACATATACATATATATATATACATATACATACACTACATACAACAGTACATACGGCCCATATGGTACATAGAGTACATACAGTATGGATACACAACTTTTATATTACAATACCACTATATCATTATAGTACCACTATACTTTACGATACCCAGCCTTTCTTCCTCCGACTCCTGGACGCCTTCACCGTCCTGTCGTGCTGTCTTGTGAAACACAAGAGAGACCGAAAAAAAAAAAATCGCTGATTTGAAAAATGATAAGAAACCATTGGACAAACCGTGATATACCATGGGATTTAAGAATTAATAACCCTATGTTCAGAGAAACTCACATGAGTTTACTGCGCAAGATTCAACCAAACAACCAACTCAACAAACTCAAAGTGGAAAGTTGAATCCGTTTTTCTCAACAAATGCATCATTTCCATCTCAAAAAACATCAACCGCCAACAAACGGTGCCCATGCCGCCGTGGGAAAGAGGTTGTGCCGAGGCAGAGCGGGCGAGCCGATGGCCATGGTATCGTCCGGGAAAACCAGCTGGCACGGCATCCTTGGGGACTATTCATGATTTTCATAATTATTGATCATGAAAATTATGATACGTTAATCACAAGATTTAATCACTATCATCAGAATAATGACATTATTGATCATGAAAATTACATATTGATGACTATACGTAAAAATGATTATGTATATATATATATATATGTGATGATGATGATGATGATGATGATGATGATGATGATGATGATATATTATATAATGATTATTTGAAAACTTGGGGATGACCTGAGGTGACCTGACTCAGAAAGCATCCCTAAAGACTGCCCTCTTTGATGTGCTCCCGAAAATAGCGACTGGTCATCCAAGTGGCTGTTTTTGCGACTGCTGCGGCGCCAGCGCATGGGTAATGGCCTGGTGAGCCAGTTTGGCAGATGCCCAATCTGTGGTCGGTTGACCTGTATCCTGTGGCTTGTGACTTGTAGGTTGGCTTCAACGATTGTCCAATTTGGATTGGTCAATAGCTTCCCACAGCCCACGCTTGACATCTGGCCTGCTGATGAAACTGTAGCAACGCGCTGCGGTCAAAATGATCCATACTCACCCGTTGTTGCCTCGAGGTCGACATGTCTGGCGGGAAACGTATGGTGTATTGTGAAGAAAAAATATAGCCGTGGCTGATCTGCTCTCATTGCAGGATCCCACCAGCCTCATGGTGACCTGGGCAGGCGACCCTTATTGGAATACCAGCCTTGGATTGGACACGTCTCTTATTCTCTGAGGATTACAGCCAAAAAAAGGACCATTCTCCGCGGTAACTAACAATGGCCATGGAAAATGGCCCGTTTAGAGATGATTTGCCTGTCAAACTGATTCAAAATCAACATGTTGCATGGAGGTGTTATGTCAAATTACCAGAGGGTCAAAGTTCAAATTCACCAAATCCACAGTGATGAAGGGATCCTATTCTACCCGGATCTGCATTTCTGCTCACTTTGACCCCCACCGATCAAGCAGCGCCAGGAATGAGAAACACGGGGTATTGCTGCAGCAGAATGAGCAGCTGTGGGTGAAGAGCACCGCAGCTTGATTGAAAGGGCTGTGCTGATGGATGAGAAAACCAGACTTTGATGATGCATTTTTTGATTCAGAATGCTTCCAAAACCGCAAAGACGCGTTCGAAGTTGTTTCTGTTGGCTCTGTGAAGCAGCTGTGCCCTCAAGGCACTTTTGGGTCCAGGTTCCTTGAAAGTTCTGGAGCGTTTTGAACTGATCCGCATCACAACGGTTGACCAACTATGGTACTCTTTTGGGCACAAGCCAGCCAAATGTCTTGAGAGTACATGGAGGTATCTGCGGCGTTCCTGTTCCATGGAGTTCATGATATCCTACCCTAGCTTGAGACGCTGCGGCGAGGTTTCTCACTTGCATGCGCAGAGGCTGACATGGCGTATCCTTCAAAATGCGTTTTGTTTTTCAAAGTTGTATAGTCCCTCATGTTGGTTTCATCCCAGTAGACCCACGGATCCTGTAAAGAAGTAGCCTTGGCCACACAACCGATTGTTTATGGTATTTTTGTGTGTGTGGGCTTTATAATCGAGGGTTAGAAGGGTATGTCTGAAAATGGGGTATACGCCACAATTATGGCCATTTTTTCGGGAAAAGGATGATTCACCACGAATCCATGGCGTGGATGGGCCTCCAGCAGCTTCCTGGCCCCCTGCGCTTTCAGCGCCGCCCCGAAGAGACCATAGACCTGGGGTGTCCCTAGACAGTGCCACAATGAGGCTTATCCCACAAGAGATAGGATGAATACAGTTCATATAGCTATATATATATAGCGTATATGTTATACATCTATGGTACACAAATATGTATATATATATTACAATATTTATATATTACTATATATTGTAATACAATATATATATAATATACATTGTGTAATATATATAATGTTTTAATATATAGTATTATAATATTTTAATAACACAATATAACAATATTATAATATTGTAATATTATAATATAAAATAATAATATTCTAATATAATATAATAATATTATAATATAATATAATAATATTATAATAAAATATAATCGTAGTATAATATAATATAATATAACATAATATAATGTAACATAATGACATAATATAATATAATATAATATAATATTATATAGTATAATATAATATCATATTGTATCATATTGTATTGCATTGTATTATATTATATATATTATTACAATATATAATAGGAATGAATATAATAAATATAATAAGTATAACAATAATAATCATAATAATAATAATATATTATAATAAATAGATAATATATATATATATTATTTTATTATATATAGATAATATATATATATATATATTATCATATTGTATTATATTATATTTTATTTTATTTTATTATATTGTATTATATTATATTATATTATATATTATATTATATTATATTATATTATATTATATTATATTATTTTATATATATATATATATTATTATATTATATATTTATCATATATATATATATTATACAGTAACTTTCACATATATAGTATTATACATCTATGGTGTAGGGTATATATACATTTACAATCATTTACATTCGTATTCATGAGGTAGTGGAAAAAAAAACATCATCAATCTCCTTTCAACCCGTCGTCGCAGTGGTGACGGTCACTGCGTGAAGTTTTGCTGGCCATGTCTGCGAAGTTGAGATCTAATCAAAGTCGAGCTAATACGTTGAATCACTTAAAGACACTTAATCAGGGTCAGGGACTCCACACATCGCGTCTCAAAATCAAGGAGGTTTTTGGAAATAAGAGGTCACAAAACAGTGTATCTTGAAACGTGAAACCACCAGAAACCACTGATACCAGTGGTCACCTCAATTTGGACTCCAACCCTGGCCCCGGCCCAGGCTTCCCTTCCTGAATGGGCCGGCACAGGAAGCGACTGCTGGCACCTGCGTGAACCAAGTGGATGAGGTTCCACTGAAAGCTTCAGTGTTCCCTGGCCTTCCAGTGGGGCCAGCGAGCAGTCATCGTCGTAGTAGCCAAGGTGCAGGAAGTCCCACCTGGCCGCTCTGGCGCCTTCCCTGAAGAACCCCAAGGCTGTTGTAAAAAATTTTCTAGGTTAATTTTGGAAAAGAAAGATCTATTCCAAGAAAAAACAATTTGATATATTATCAATGTGGTCTATGTTTGACTTTACGACATTATGACAGTCGGATACCATCTTGCGAACAAAAATGTTGCAAATGAAAATTCCCTGAATGTCCTTAATTTCTCCACTATATACATACATACATACATTACATTACATTACATTACATTACATTAATCGAAGGAAGTTTAGAAGCTAAACTT